ATTTGTACATGTATGTAGACTGACAAGGCATTCATATGAAACTTGTGTACTAGTATTTACCTGTGAGAATGACATGGTTTTTTTTTTTAAATATGACCTAGAAGTTTGACCTACTTGCAAAAAAATAAAATTTTTATAAATTCATCATTTTGAAAGAGAAAAGTTAGGGCATTCATATAATAATGCATGTATATTATTACCTGTGATAAGACCTTTCCAAATGAATCATGACTTTTACTCTGTGACCTTGACCTTGAAGCATAACCTACTTTTCAAAAATGTTGCATTTGCTAATAACTTTTGATTGAGATGAGATATGACTCTCACATTTGACATGTACATTAATTACTCATAAAAATTCAAGGTGTTTCCCAGCATGTGATGTTTTTTTTACCCCTTGAAATTGATGTTTTACATAATTTTAAAAATATTTAACTCTCCTAAAAGATGATTAGGCTTCTGAGTAGCATTAATGCGGACAGGAAAGACAGGACTTTTTGCACAAAAAACATCATTTTTCCAGCCCCATTTGACCCCCCGAGGAAAAATCAAAATTACGAAACCTTACTGCACATCTACATGACACCACCAACCATCTCCCAAAAGATGATTAGGCTACTGTGTAAAATGTAGGAGAAGTTTAGGGAAGACGATCGTTTGTGCATAAAAACGTCATTTTTTGACCCCTATTTGACCCCCTGGGGCAAAATCAAAATTCCGAAACCTTACTGCACATCTACATGTACATGACACCACCAACCATCTCCCAAAAGGTGATTAGACTGCTGAGTAAAATTTAAGAGGAGTTCAGGGAAGATGGGGCTTTTTGCATAAAAAACGTCATTTTTCGACCCCCATTTGGCCCCCCGGGCCAAAATCAAAATTCCGAAACCTTACTGCACATCTACATGACACCACCAACCATCTCCCAAAAGATGATTAGCCTACTGTGTAAAATGTAGAGGAGTTAGGGGAAGACGGGGCTTTTTGCATAAAAAACGTCATTTTTCGACCTCTATTTGCCCCAGGGGCAAAATCAGAATTCCAAAACTTAACTGCACATCTACATGACACCACCAACCATCTCCCAATAGGTGATTAGGCTGCTGTGTAAAATGTAAGAGGAGTTCAGGTAAGACGGGGCTTTTTGCATAGAAAACGTACATTTTAGACCCCCATTTGACCCCCGGGGGCAAAATCAAAATTACGAAACCTTACTGCACATCTACATGACACCATCGATCATCCCCTAAAAGGTGATTAGGCTGCTGTGTAAAATGTAGAAGGAGTTCGGGAAGACGGGGCTTTTTGCATAAAAAACGTCATTTTTCGACCCCCATTGAATCCCCAGGGCAATATAGAAATTCCGAAACCTTACTGCACATCTGCATGACACAAACAACCATCTACCAAAAGTGGATTAGGCTGCTGAGTAAAATGTAGAAGGAGTTCAGGGAAGACAAGGCTTTTTGCATAAAAAACGTCATTTTTCGACCCCTATTTGAACTCCCAGGGCAAAATCAAAATTCCAAAACCTTACTGCACATTCTCTCTCTACATGACACCACCAACCATCTCCCAAAATATAATTAGGCTGCTGAGTAAAATGTGGAAGGAGTTCAGGGAAGACGAGGCTTTTAGCATAAAAAACGTCATTTTTGACCCCCATTTGAACCCCCGGGTCAAAATCAAAATTCCGAAAACTTTTTGCACATTTACCTGACACCAACAGCTATCTCCCAAAAGATGATTAAGCTACTGTGAAAAATGTAGGAGGAGTTCAGGGAAGAAAAGTGTGCCAGACGGACGGACGGACATGAGTAACAACAATATACCCGATCTTTCTTTAGAAAGTGCGGGTATAAGAACAGGTCATTAAGATTTGGGATTAAAGATGGAGATCCTATTTGACAGTTGGCGTTGGCACAGAAATGAAAACTATCTAGTCAATTGTCGTAAGTTTAAAGCATTGAACTTAATTTGAAGATCTTCATTTGCATACAGTGACGCCTTTTATGAGTCTCAATATAAATTAAAATAAATCACAGAATGATAAAAATTTGCAGGCTATTAATTAACAAACAGGGTCATAATTGCATAGAATTTATTTTCTGTTAAAACGTGTGTTAGGTTCTTATATGTCTTCTTGACTTATATTTCTTTAACGACGTCTAAACCAATTTCTGTGGAGAAATTGTTACAGCAAACAAATCGCCTTACATATGCAACGCGGAAATAAAAAGATTACAGTATAATGAAAATCAAATATGAGTACAAATAATTCATATTTGAACATTGCAACTATGCATTAACTCGCATATATAAACAAATAGTTTTAACCCATTCATGCAAACTTTCTTAAATAAGAGATGAATACTTTATTTCAAAACTATTCAATATCGTTCAAAATTAAGAATTGCTTTTATTTAGACAAAAACTATGTAATAAAACAAGATGCTTACCCATCTAAACAAGAAAAAAAAATAGGTGGGTGCAAATTTAATGATTCATCATGAATCAAATAGGAGGCTAGTGATTTTCACTGGTATTTCACGGTTTTAAATCTATTTGACACAATGGTCAGGAAGAAGCACATTTCCAGAAAACCCATGACCATCATTTATTCTATGTCCATACACCACTAGCCCAAACGGAACTCTGTCTACAGTACGTATACCCATCATTCCAGGTTTAATTTCCAATACGCTAACACTGTAGGTGTTTCCTTGCAGACCAACAGTAGAATCAAAAACTTTATAAACTTCGTTAACTTTCGTACCATTGATTCTAAGATTCTGAAAAGATGAAGTTGGAATTATAATCGAAATGTAATTGTTGTCAAAGCCTTCGGGGATTACAACTAAATAATTATTCAGATACTGATGTATTCCAGGTATGGTTATCATATAAGGACCGCCTTCTTTGTTATCAGTTGGTATGGTAAAGCTAGAAACAAGAAGCTTGTTCTGCGACTCAATTACACCAACCTCATTACTTTTTAACAATAAAGTCAAAATAGCCTTTTTCCTCAATTGTTGTAGTCGTTGACATTTTTCCTACCGGTATCTAATGTTTTTGTTGAATGGGGAAACCATGTGAATTTGTTACCCTAAATCTTCCGACAGCTGGAGGCACAATGAAGGAATTGTCAAGTCTATTTATGGGAGGAATCTGCTCGATAAGTTTACTACATGTTCCTATATATCCAGTCGGTTGCACTTATTTCCCGAAAACACAGCCGCCGGATATGACGCGCTAATAGTTGTTCCGGTTAGATCCGCCTTGTGGGCAACAACTTGGAATGTTCTAAGTCGATGCATCGTTAAATGCATCACATCTCCGTTTCGATAGGCTCGTCCATCGTATTCAATTTTTCTGTCCACATCCATTTTGAAAGTGATAGAAACTTGTGTATCATCTTTTGTTGCCGCGATAGCAAATTGCGCTGCAGAGTCGAGGCTATCATCAAAAGGTGTCAATGTAGAAATGATGTAGGAATTCGACAATTTTCTTAAAGGGAACACTAAAGAACTTCCAGTAGAAGTGGTATTTTCATCAAACAGAAGAAGGGAAGATGCATCTGATGTTTTCAGCAAAATACCTTTGGGTTCCAATTTTAAAGATAGTAAAATATAACTCTTTGGGATAATCAATTTTGTTTGTTTCATATTTTAATGGTAATCATAAATATGAAATGCCGTTATATTTTCAGGATCAAAAGAAGTTATTCCTTAATGTAAGGAGCTTTTGGAAGCGAGATATGCCGTCTTGTTTGCAAATTCAGCAAGTTTAATGTTTTCAGGGAAAAGTAGCATAAACATCTGCCCTTGTTCTTTAATATAAAAGTGATATCTTTAGATTCACGCAATTGAGTTAAGCAACGTACTTGTATAGTTGTTTCTATGTACAAAATACAAGCTTAACCAAGAAGGGCTACACCTATCGCACAAAAAATTAATGTTTTGTAATGCATACCTAGTACCCATAATATGTGATAGCTCAGTATCTATTTTGACGTCAAATGAAAATGTCATCAAGCTCTTCCATACAAGTTTATAAGGAAAGCAAAAACTCTTTGTGGCGCAAGGGCATACCTCACTTTTCTCTAAAGAAAAACAATTGATAAGACGCAGGATATTCCAATGATTTACATATAAAATATTGTTGCACAAATGTAGACACTACGCAGGTAGGTTAAGGTTACAACCAAATATTCTACTTGCCTATATGATATGACGTCATAGTAAGCTATATGAAGTTTAGAAATAACAATTTCTTATAATCGATTGATTTGAGGTCGTAAAAATTAATCAAAATATGCAGAGGCATAATACAAACAGAATTTTGTCGTTTCTGGGACTCTGTAGTTATCACAGGGGTTAAATACCAAGCCCGTGACGTCATAACTGTTGATCATGCAGTAGCAGAGTGAAAGTGAAACGTAACGAGAATTCATGTAAAAGCATTTAGAATGATTATCATGTGTGATTCTTATGGGAATAAAGCTTATGAATAAGGTATGGTAATATACTTCATCAATTTCTTCGTAAAATAAAAGCAGGAAGGCTGTTTACTTGCCGATCAGCCTTTCCTCTGTCGTTCGTAACAAATAAGATACAAAAGTTCAACACTACGCCGCACACTTTGAAACTTAATTTTTGTTTCTATCTAAACTTCTTATTCTATTGCTGCTAGAATCGTATGGTTTACGGGAATTAATGCATTTTTTTTTTGATGTTATGAACAAAATGTAAAAATTTAAGGAAGGTTTCGTCAGAAAGTGTTGAATAATTATTTCTGTGATAGGAGAGTAGGATTCTAGCAGCACTTTTCATGGTACAGAGATGTTTTTACATGATTATTATTACAAATTGAAATTAATTATCCCCGGGGTAGTGTTGTACTTTTCACTTTTTCATTAAGGCATATTTTCTAATTATAGACGTCACGTGGTGACGTCGTGGTGAAGTGCTTCATGTAGTATAAGTCCCATAGAAGTCTATAAAATGCATAATTATAACAAAAGTTTAATGCTTTATTTATTATTTATTATTATTATTTATTAGTGTTACATAATTATAAAAAAGTCTTAATTCGCCGAATTCTGGTCCATGTGAAGTGCTTCATGTAGTATAAGTCCCATAGAAGTCTATAAAATGCATAATTATAACAAAAGTTTAATGCTTTATTTATTATTTATTATTATTATTTATTAGTGTTACATAATTATAAAAAAGTCTTAATTCGCCGAATTCTGGTCCATGTGATGCCTTAACATACCCGCGTACAAATGTTTATTTGCAACTCGAAAAGTTTTAAGTTGAATCAGTGTAAAATCCCTTGCCCAGTGTAAGTTTCAGTTGCGATAATGCATAATATTTTTCCTGTAATTTTATTAATTTTGGTTAATTATATTAAACATTGTTTATCTAAAATTGAATGGGGTATGCCTTTGCGCCACAGATGCATTGTTTTGTTTTATAACCTTGAATGGAAAAGAACACTATTACGTCATAAGTGTACTAGCTTTAACAAGGTGTGGGAAGTTTGAATAAGAAATCAGTTAGAACTTTCTCTACATGTAATATATACATCTTATGCAGTTTTATAAGCTCATTTGCATAGAAACACCTATACCTAGCCTTAACTCACTTGCAAAAACACATGTGGAGAAAAAAATAGCAAAATGTGCTAGTAATTTCCTTACAACTGAAAAATTAGTATATATATGTATGTAATGTACAGTTTCTTGTTTAAAAGATTATTGTAGATTTTTTTACCTTGAGAGGCACTTTTCATTGCACTCTGAAAAAACAAAGCTTTCTTGAATGAAAAGAGTTTGGTACTTAAATCGGTTTGCTTTTCGACCTTAATGATGATTTTTCTACAACATAAATAAAAAGAAAATGTTGTACATGTATTAGATGAATAAATACATCTAAAAACATATGCAATTATTTAACAAACTAGTGTTCAAAATGTAAATTAACTGTGATATAAATGATATCAAAAACATTCATTCTGATAAGAATTTCATTTTTTTTCACACCTTGTTCAATCAAATACGAAGGAAAAATAAACTTCACTTCGGGTTACAAAATATCCGCATTTTTCGTCTGTTGATATCACAACAAGATATTTTGTCTTATAATATTTGTGTTTCGAATTTCTTGAAAAAATTGATGTTAACATTTTAAAAGACTAAAATAAGCATCTCTTTTCTAATTCTATATATAAATTGCGCTGATGAAAACATACAATCAAATTTAACTTATTTTTTTAACTTGATGAGTATACACCGAGATCGAATAACATAAAAATCGTTTTCAAAACAAAAGCATATTGTTTTTGCAAGATATACTACATGCATACATTATTTGAAGCAAACGAAAAATTCTTTTATCAAATGCTTACCTATATCTTGTACAACTATCACCACAACGAGACCTATAATAACGAAGGCAATTACGATCATCGCAGGTAACCATTGTTTCCTTATACAGTTTGTTGTTCTTTTATCTGTTTTATTCTTATTTCTTTCCTGTGACTTTGTCTGATTCTGTTTTACTTTCCTTATGTGATCTCTGTTTCTGTCACTTTTAGCTTCATTCTCAGAAACTTCGTCCAACTTTGAACAGGATTTTTTATAGCATTATGTATCATAAATATTGCACAGATTGAATGAATTGAAGTGGTAGGAAAAATGTAACTTACTTCATTGTAATGATGTGATGATACGTCGGGCATAAGAATTATCATAGAAGATAAAAGTATAGATATGTAAAATGCATGTATTTAGACACCTAGACATATTATTTTAAAAGTTATTTTTTCATTATTTTAAATACGTTAGATAACTGATGTAGAGTAAAACCACATCGAACTTTTTAAAAGCCTTGGACAGTTCTATTCGTGAAATACTTACTGGAGAAAGGTATCCTTCTCCTGATGATGGTCGTTTTGGAAGATTGGGAGGTCATCCTTCTTTTTTTTTTAGCTAAATAAAAACAATCAAAACAAATCAACATGGATTTATTTTACTTCCAACTGCACTACCTTATAAACAAATGTATTTTTGTAATATGTAAGTTATGATAATTATTATTTTATGACAGACTGTCAAACACATTTACCTGTGAATTGAAGGGTAAGATAAAAGAGGGATACTACAGTAAAACAATGTTCTAAAACTTGTTAATAGACAATTTCACATAAATGTGCTGGTTTTCTCTGCTTTGTTGAGAAAAATGAAATTTTATTGCAAAAAATAAATTAATTTATCATATGTACTAGGAGCACGTGCTTTTGTTTATTATGTGCTAATAAAAGCGCCATTAGCTATTGGTCAGTATTTAAAGGACAATACCTGTGGAACAAGTATTCAATTTAATCACCCTTTTAACTCATTCGAAGGCTTTGCTTTGCGGCTTTCACACCCACCAACCCTCTTACTCCATCCTCTTATTTGTATTTTGTTTAATAAAGAAAGTTTTATTTAAAGGATTGATCAGACTGTTTTCATCACAAGAAAATTAAAAGTTTTGTACACAACAGATAAATTGTCAAAAATGGTAAATAATTTGCTTAGTCGCTCTATATAATTTTATGTAAAATTTTATATAATGTAAAACTGTTGTGTAGTGGTACATATAAAAGCTACATATAGTCGAAATGTGTTTACAGCTAGTATTGATTTACATTTATTTTGCACAGGCTTTACTTAAACAAATCAATTAATTGTACACTATAATTTATGACACTTACGTAAGTTTGTGAGAATGAGTCCGCCATTCAATTTGTTTACCTCGCAATTGCTGCGGACGAACAGGTTTCCATAGTTTTTCAACATAAATCAATGTTGTTTTTTATCTATGGTTTTTCCTGGGCGGCGAGGGAAGCATAATGTGTTCATACATGCTTTATATTATGTTTTTAATCAGTGAAGTGAGGACATACATAACATTGTGTTAAAATGCATTTTTACTGTGATTAATTATTTTTTATATATTGGAGAAGGAAGGTAGAAAATCGGTACAATTGAAGACTTGTGTTTTGTAAATGTATACGTCTTATTAATGCTGGCAAGCAAGAGCTTCCATTCCTATATAGACAAATGTTCTTGTTATGAATGTGAATAATTTATGTTCGTTTGAGTGAAACGAATAAGTTCATAACGAAGTAAAAAAAAAACACTTTGCACCTTTGTTAGAATAGTGTTGCTAAATATCACAAGCACAAAGATTTTTTTCATTTGTTTTCGTAATTTAATATGTATTATGCGAACATTAAGATGATTGATTGGTTGTATACTGTTTAACATCCCTCTCGAAAATTTTTTCTCATATGGAGACGTCACTGCATGCCGATACAGGGCTTCAAATTTAGACCTATACACGGCAGGCAGGGTCATTTAGCAGTGGGGGTTTTATATCGTGACAACGTCTTTCTTTGACAGGGGACCTATGTTTTTAAGGTCATATCCGAAAGACCCGTGACTTTCTCTTCTAGTGCCGGGTGCTCGGCGTAAGAACAGTCATGTTTACGTCTAAGGTACATGTATGACGCGGCGCCGCGAACGAAAATTGAACCCGGGCCTTCCAATCACGAAGCGAACCGCTACCACTAGGCTACCGTGACCGGTCGCGAGCATAAAGATGAATGTATAAAA